TATATATAAATTAGAAGAAGAGAGTCTTATTAAAGATATATATATTGAGAATTTTAAATCTGATTTAAAAAATTAAATAAAAGCTTGCTGTAGAACGCACATTTCCTAAACTGTACAGATTAAAAATACAGTTTATATGTGTAATAAACGACGAATATAGTGGGATAAATCGAGCACACATGCATCTAGAAATCCGGAGGACACGCCGTACAACATGTGATTAATAAGCTCGTGCGACAAGGAGGTTAAGTCTCGCGAAAATTTTGCGCGAAATCCTCGCGTCCCTCGAAAATAACGAGCATCGCGCGAGAAAAGCTAAAACCGTGAAAAAATCCGACTCGTTCGTCGTTCATTACAATATTGTACAATGATAATATTACTGTTCCAACAATCGCTATTCACTCACCATGATTTTCCGGAAGCGAAAGAACCATACGAGAGAAAAATGGATAAACCGCGGCCACTGCCACCAACCGTCAACCGTCAAACTCACCAGCAAGCAATAATCTCTAATTCGGACTACGCTATAGGGATTTTTTTCGGCCCGTATCAGACCATTTTAGTACATACCGTGACATATTAAACCATTTCTATTACGTCATATCGAGCATGCGCTTCGTACATCGGGCGCGCAATGCGATTTCTAATCAAGGTATGTTTTATTTCGAAGCTCGGCATCAGCTGTTCTATTCCATGCTCCGTTTTGAGAGAGAGAGACGAGAGACTAGCAATACGATGAACGAAAATATATATGTATATAAATAATTTTCAATACTCCCACAGATACTGATATATACACTGATATATACACTGACAGCTGACAGAAAGTTTATATTGGACCGCATACACAATCTACCGCTAAGAATTATATCTTTGACGTGAATTTCTTATGCAATAATGACAATACTTTATGATTAGAAATATAAGATTTTGTTATCAGAATTAGACACAATTAATAATATGAATTTGACGGCTGTAAAAATGTTGGGAAATTCGAGAGCTGCAAGATACGTGTTCGACAAACGGACACACATGTTTCTGTTCGGTGATGCTAATATGCAAGTAAGATGTAAAAGTAAAAAAATAATGCGCAAGGCTATCGAAATAAATAGATATCAACGACGGGAAGAACCTATTGGAGTGTATGGATATTGCTTGTTGGCAAGTAATACTACAAACATATTTATTATGCTTATAATTTATTATAAAATTTTGTATGTATCATAGTTGTATAGAAAGATCTTATGTTTGTGAAATGTAAATAAAAATTTGCGAAATGAATAATGTTATGACATATTAATTAATATACTATAATATATTATAAATCTATGCAAAAGAGAAATATTAAAATTTAGAAAGCTTCTGTTTTTAGATACGAATTTTGATTGTACTTGTGTGCGCACTAGTGCAATCTAAAGAATGTTGCACATAAATCCACAAATACACACATATATATATATATATATATATATATATATGTATTTGTGGATTTATGTGCAACATTCTTTAGATTGCACTAGTGCGCACACAAGTACAATCAAAATTCGTATCTAAAAACAGAAGCTATAATAATAACAACACCGTTTTATGTTTACATTATAAAAAGGATAAACTTTATATAAAACATGTTATAAAAAATAAAATAATTATATCAAAACGTTGCGATCAAACCTTTCTGTAATTTTTAAAAGTGGGCTTTTTCTTTTTATTTATACAATTTATTGCACGATCTAATAATTTCACGTGCGCAACTGATGAGAAGGTGAATTCAGCGAATAGTTCGTCTCACGAGCTCCTTTCGTATAAATTCATCGACTTGCTTTTATATTACTTTTGAATAACATGTAAGAGAGAGAAAGAGAGATTGTTGGTTTTATAAATTCGTTCTCTATTTTCAGACAAGTATAAATTTATTTCATCTTATTTTGTATGCCGTCTAAAACGACAATTGTAAAAAAGCCTGTTAAAGACGATCCTGTGAAGAAAGGATTTAGCACGATATGAACAACTTGTGTACTTTGTATTTACAATTACAAGCTTGTCTTAAGACTATCTAACATTTATACCCTTGCTATGAATACAGTCGAGCCATATCGACAATTTGAATAAATTGACTACGATTTAATGCAATTCTCTAGATAATAATATTCTATCTATAACATAAACAGCAAAAGAGAACCAAAAATTAATCCCATAATATTAATCAACGTTCGATGCAATCTTGCCTAATCGTCGATGACAAAGACCTCGTTTCCGCGAAACTTGAAGTTGATAAGTATTTCGAGCGACACTTAGATGCTGGATCTGAAGAGCTCGAGCTTTACCACCTTTTTCCCGGCAGATAACATTCAACATTTATCATTGTTCCAAACAGGATAACAATAAGATAGGATTCTAAATTCTACGAATAATAATTGTACGCTCCAGGTGTGTGTATGCGATTGTGTGCGTGTCGATCCGGTCTCTCACACGCTCGTAGGCTCTATTATTCATTGAGCATGCAGGTGCGGACCAGAGCGTTGCATACAGAATAGGGATCGCAGTTACTGCTGGGCCTCCTGTCTTCCAAGTAACCCTTCTTATCCTCGGCGACGCCGCGGGGAATGCGAATACTGACATTCCGATTGGCTACACCGGCGCTAAAATCATGGATGTTGCTAGTCTCGCATTTCCCGGTTAATCTGCGCTCGTTATCCTTCCCTCCGCGCGGATCGTACGCCTGGATGTGTCTGAGATGTTGTTTGCTGAGCTTGTCGATCGCCTTCTCGATTTCGGCGATACCGTTCTCCCCGCGCATCGCCTTCGTCGAGAAGTTGGTGTGGGCGCCAGCGCCGTTCCACGTACCGTCCACCGGTTTTGGATCCAGGGTCACGATCACGCCGTATTCCTCGGCAACATGGTGCAGAATGAATCGGGCAATCCACAGATCGTCCCCGGCGCTGATACCCGAGCACGGTCCCACCTGGATCCATAATAAAAAAAATACTCACTTTAAAATGGAAAAACTCTAGAGATGGAGAATCATTTCTTTTCTGAAGATGACAAAACTTAAATTTCCGCTAAGAGCTTTAAATCATGCAAAGCTCGAAATAAATTTACAATCCTTAAATTAATTTTGTTCTATTATATAAATTTAATCTTCAATATAATCTGGAAACGTTATATCTAATTATATCTCATTTCCAGTTTATATTATCAAAGCTCGATTTATAAGAGTCCTTTAATTATCTTTCATCTAATCATTTAGCCGGAATGCTATGTGGTCTCTTTTACTTTCTATTACAGCAATTGGCGATTCGAATATTTACCTGGAATTCCCATTGCGAAGGCATCACCTCGGCGTTGGTCCCCGCGATCTTCACGCCGGCATAGAGGCAGGCTCTGTAGTGAGCCTCGACGATCTCGCGGCCGATCACCTTATCGGCGCCGACGCCGCAGTAATAGGGGCCTTGCGGACCGGGGAAGCCGTTCTTAGGCCAACCAAGCGGCCTGCCATCGAAATCCAGGAGAGTGTACTCCTGCTCGATGCCGAACCAGGGATCCTGGTCCTTGATGGCTTCCATCGCCTTGTTCGCAATGCATCGCTTGTTCGACTCCGTCGGCGTCTTATCGCTGTTGTAGGTGTCGCAGAGCACGAGTTTGTTTTTACCGCGACGGAAGGGATCATTATAAATGGCTACTGGATAAAGATATATGTCACTGTTGGCGCCGTCAGCTTGATACGTCGAGCTACCATCGTAAGTCCACGTTGGCAGTTCTGAAATTGGTAATCGAAAGATTAAGAAATCTCGTATTTAATCAGGAATTATTGATGAGTTGTATGATGGTGATCCAAAAAGAGTCCATATACATATACATATAATAAAAAAAAAAAAATATATATATATGTTTTTTTTTCTCTTGTATAATCTCTGTCTGCCTTTTTTCTCATTTTATCAAACTTAAATTTTTCCACTTAAAAAAACGCGGAAATTATTTTTTTAATTATTTTTCTAATTATATATTAATTATTTTTCTTATTTTCTTTCCTGTATATATATGTATATGGATTTTTTGCTCAGAGAATATTCGTCGGAATTTCTCTTTTGGTGATCTTGTGACTCGATTCTTTTCGGCTAAAATTTTCTCAGAATTTCATGAAAAATTGTTATCACTTTTTGATTAACAAATATTTTAATCCTAAGTCTCTCTCTTTGATGAAGTAAAAACTTTCAAGTTAAAATTGAAAATTTGTAAGTCTTTAAATTAAAGTTTTTTTGATAAAACACTTAAATCTCGAATTTTTTCCCAAGCCTGATTTTCTCATCCATCGTGATTATCGTTCCATTTAATTCGCTAATGGTTTTTAATTTTTCATTACGCTTTCGTTCAGGAAAAATTAAATCCATTAATAAGGAAATTAATATTTATTTAATATTTATCACTTAGCATACGATCTCTACAAGTCTCGATTCTATTCTCGAAATAGACATACACATGTTCAATGAATGTAATAATAGCATCATATATATAATGCAATGGCAATGATATTTGAATTATATACATATTATACATATTAATCCGATAATAGTCGGTCCTAGAAAATCTGCGATGATTATTTAAGCTGTTGATAACAAATAGAGTTCATTGCTCTCGTATTTTCTATCTTTTTATATAACGTGCGTACCATGTACGATTAGATAATATTACTTCATCATGAGCAAATCGAGATAAACGAAGGCAAATAATGCGCATATAAATGCTTAAATTTTCGTTTCATCATCAATGTTCATAAATTATAGGAACCTTATATTTGATCGTGTCATCGATTAACAAATATATGTGACTTTATATAATATGTCATAATACAACATAAATTTTGTTTTAAATTTATTACTATCATATTTCATTTGCGGAACGTATATTATTATTAGAAGAATAAAATTTTTCCATATCATTTTTGCAAAGTCGTTCTTCAACATATATATATATCATAAAATCGTTCATATATCAAGATACACGCGCGATTAGTGACAGCAATAGAGTATAGCGAGGACGATCGACTGAAAGATTGAGCCATACCATTATGCTTGCTACATCCAAGGTCTTATAGAAATATGTAAATGAACAATTGAGATACATTGATCGTGCAACCCGTGTAGCGTGACCCTTATAAGACTAATCGGAGAAAGATGCATTTCCGTTACTTGAGATACAATCTTTCTCTTTTAAAGCGATCTTCCTCTTTTCCCTATCAATGTCGCTATCAAACTATTGAAAATACCGGAATAGTAGTTAGATGTTACTTTAAGAAGAATAACAAGCTATATGCATAAAATGAATTCAAACAAAAATTATGGGTCACAAAAGTAAGCAACTATTCCGTGAAACTTTTTTTAAAATTAAAAACAGGAATTAAAATTGGAATATTATATGAGAGAAAATGTAGTTTTTTTTTTTTATGGAATCTTATCTTGGGAGCTTTTAATAAGCTCGCCTTTCCAAACAAGATTAATTCGATACAAGATAGACAAATTTTTACATTTAGCAAATATTGATACAAATCGAAGTGGGTCCTCACTCACCGGAAGGATGTTTCGGCACAAAGTCCAAGGTCCTGGTCTTACACCGTAATCCTTCATCAGTACCGTCAATCCAGATGTATTTCGCTTGGATCGTATTTTCCGGCTGAGGCAAATCGAGATACTTGTTCAATAGAGTTTTATCTAACGCCGCATTTGGCGAATCTTTCAACACGCTGCGCGACATAGTGATGCTGTAACAAAAAAAGAGAGAGTAATGAGAATAAATAAAAATGACAGAGAAAATTGTTCCCGAATTATAATCTTTTTTTTTTTGTGAAATATCGCAAAATATCATATTAATTGTATAAAAAAAATAATAATACAGCATAAAATTACAATTTATTTATCTATCTCGCATCGATGATCTGATACGTTCCGTAGCACTTTACAATACTAACAGCATAAACATTCGCATAATTACAAGATGGTGCACTTAGCGTATGATTCGATTAATTACATTACGTGTATGCATCTGCTTATGTGTTTATGTCACGCTTCATACTTGTGAATGAAAAACGGCACCATAAAAGTCATACACATTATTGTGTATTTATTTAATTGCTATATAATTATTTTTTCTTTTCTCTTTTCGATCTATCGGAGATTTTAATTTTAACGAATTTAGAAAGAATTTTGAGCACTCGTCTGAGCTAAAAATTATTCATTCTCTCGCATTTTAAAGCGACGCCGCGGAAGAGGCAGGCTCCACGATGCAACACGCATGCAGAAAGAGAAGAGGAGCTTTCACTGTGGTGGTATACCGTGAAAAGATAGGTGCGCCCACATGGGGCTTCACGCGCGTAACACGCAAACCGTGCGTGCACCACGCATTGCTCGGCATGTCGCGAGCGTTGGCGTGACCATTGGCGCCGACAGGATTTTCCTCTGGTTCCTACCGAAAATCTTCTGGGCGGAAAAGCAACCCATTCTCTGACACACAACACAGATGCTTGATAAACTGTCTCGATAAATCTTGAATGCGGAGGTCAAAACAGACCGTTACAGAATGGGTTCAATTCCTCTCTCGCTCTCTTCTTCAATTTATAGATATCAATTTCAAGGAAATTATATTTTTCTTTCAATTTTAAAGAAATATTTAATTACTATAATATAAAAACTGCAATATAAAACTGCATTGGAAGAAAAATATTTAATGCCTGAGAATCAAAGACTATGTTTTCCATGTGTAAAATAGTTATTATTTTAGATTTATAGAAATCTAAAAAAATTTCAATATGTAATTCTAATAATAAATTTTTTCACTAATTTGGAGTGACTAAACTAAACTTACGGAATCTTTTCTTAATTAAAATTGAAATATATTTTTCTCGAATTGTAGATGATTAAAAATAAATAACTTTCGGCAATAAAATATGAATAAATAACACGATTCTGTTTTAATTACGAATTATAATTACAAAGTATTTCATTTGCTTATTCATTTAATTTTAAACAAATTTTATCAGATATTAAAAGCTTAAGAATTATAGTATGATAATTAGAAATACATTTAAAATTGAATTTTTTGCTATTAATAGAGTGGCTAATATTAATATAAAGAGTAATTATAGCTTTCATGTGTTTTGGTCGCACGTCGGGTTCTAATTACAGGACAAACTTTGACCTTAATTTAGAGCGAACCGATATATCGCGTCGCGTCGCGCGTTGTATCACTTCAAGAATCAGTAAAATGCAAATCAAAATATATTTGCTCACGTCACTACACAATTATATAATTAATGCCACACGTGCATGTTTGCGAAGGCAATTGCGATAACTTTTCGTTGTCATTTTAGACATAGAATATAATGAGTTCTGAAAGTCAAGATTTTATACAGGGAATTGGGAGAGAGATTATAGACTTCCTACGCTTCTGATTTCGGGAAACAAAAAAATATCATAAAAAATATTAATAAGAATTAAATAAATAAAAAATATTAATATTAATTTGTTTAAATATCTATATCAGAATTTCTTGTACAACTTTACTCTCTTTCTCTCTCTCTCTCTCTCTCTTTGTCGAGTTTATATCTTAAGATATCTTGTATACGTCATACAAAGCTTCCAGACGAGAGAAAAATCGAACAGCGTGTCGGAATGTTATCTTTGGTCACGTGCGAGCATAAAGCTATTTTTTGCGTGATACATGCATAAAGAGATGTCGGAACAAATATGTTTGATCCGTTTTTATCACAATTGCGAGACGGTTGTGACCAATCAGCAATTCGATAAGATTTGAAATTAAGTCTGGTAAAAGTACACTTTTTCCGAGTCAGTCTTGATGATAAATATTGATTTATCATCTATTCTGCGTTGATAATTTTTCATCACAACTCGTGCAACTTTTCATGTTAATTATCATATTAATTTTCAAAAGAAATGAAAATTGAAAGATCTCTTTCAGAAGTCAAATCAAACGTGTGATTTATATAAAGTAACGATTTATTTTATACAAATTCTTACGTGGTGAAATGTAATGATCTAATTATAATTATAATTATACAATATATGAGAGACTTTGATTTATTCAAATCAAATGTCAAATGTAAAAATATAACAGCTTTGCAAATAATTGCAAATCTCACAAAATCTAGTCAATTTTCATCTGCTTTAATAATAGTTTTCTTTTGTTCCCAAAGTGATTCTTTCCGCATTCTCTCATACGGATTTTTGCTTATTTTTCGGTGCTCGGAGAGAATAAAGACTCTGAAGGATGAAAATAAATGCGGAGGTTAATGCACTTCCTGTTGAACTCGTGGATGCAGTAGCAAATACGACCTTTGCTCAATCCGTTGTTTTACTATATAAACAGTCAATAATATGCACGTGCGTATCAGTACTTATGACATTCACATATCTGGACCCGCGAATGAGAAGTGATAAATATGAAATGATACTGTTGGCATATTGGCATTTTAGTACTTTGTCGATCTTTCCCGCGTATATATTGGCTATCTTTTAATATATAAAATTAAAATAAAAAATCTTTCTAGCATTCTAGAGTATTTTGTACGTATATCATTAAGAGCAGATGTAAAACATACATGATGGAAAAGGATTCTCGGATATTGACCCCGGTCGTACGTTTACATATATATCTTTGTGTATTTTCTTTTCCTTCAACACATTTAACGCGATGACTATGCAGGCGCACTTGTGACGCACTTGGATTTTCGTATGATTCGAACGTAAATTTTCTGCGAAACTTGAATACAACATAAATGTGTCATCTATACGATAAAACGGCACGTAAGCCAGTATCATCGAGTTGCAAATTTCGATTTCTGCGTTCCGTAACGCGAGTGTTACTCTTATGAAATTTTAATGA